CGTAGTATATAAATATTTTAAATTTAAACAAGAGTAGGGTGGTAGGGAAATTATTTTATATCCCACGTATTTTTAATGCACTACTCCGCGTCATTAAACTTTAAATGCTTATAAATAATAAACTATTTGTTAAATATTTAATATTCATGCATTCAAATGTTTAGGAAAATATTCCGTTACCTACAGAATTTTATATTAAAAGTAGAAGTTTGTGTTTAAAATTCTGGACAAGATAAAGAGATTGGGTGTTGGGCACTCGTCTCGCTTCGCTCACCTTAGTACCGGGTATAGTAATGTTTTACATTATTTTCAATTTCAAAGAAGTCAAAGAAATTTAAGAGTTACTTTTAGTGGCGCTCTGTTGAAATCATGTTTGGTTTCATTTTTTACCCTTTTAACTTCGGTATCTTTGTCAAACATTAGACATTTAAAAAAAATAACCTGTTGCTTATTAAAATAACAGTTTATGAGTTTGAAAATCTTTTGGTAAATTCTGTTTTGTGGTAAATTAAACATTTAGTGAAATAAATTAAAGTCCCTTAAAAAGATCGAGTACTGAAATAAAAATTCTATATAAGGTTTCTAAAAGTATATCTCTGTGTATAAAGTGGTACAAAATAATTCATACGTAGGTAATAATGAAAATGAAAAAGATGTATCCAACGCTATCTATACTATCCTCATATAGGATCCATAACTTTGATTTATTTATATTCGTATTAAGTTACTTTGAAATATTTACTATAGTATGTTTACTGTATCTACTCAATTATTTTTATTGATGAATACTTTTTACATTTAATTAATATTAGATTTTAAGTAGGTAGGCATATTAATAAATCCTACACATTAAATATCTTAATTTCATTGTAGCTAGTAAATCACATTTGTTTTGTATTTGTTAATTATAAACTTACATCTTTACATTGGTAGAATGGTAGGTAATCTTCAAAGAATATCTTTCAGTCAACTTTATATAATTTTTATGTTGACTTAAACACTAGTTTTCATAATTAGTTTAAGTATTTATAATTTTTAGTAAAAGTTTTAAAATTTTTCATAAAATCTGGAATTACTGAATGTTGTAATGGTAAATATATTGAATGTTCATAGGATTTGAATGTAAATGTTGATAATGTTGCTATCACAAGCAAATGGTCGGAAGGAAAATTCCATCTATACATATGTATAGGAAATGTAGAAAGGAAGTTATTGAAATGTGTATAGAGGAAATGAGATACTTATACCCACAGGGACAGTTATATCCAGAGACCATTCAAACCGTTATATAAGATAAGGATAAGAAAAACGATTGTAATACCTATACAATGTTTGACGAACATTAAAAAATAAATTTATATGAACATAAGGCAATCACAAAATTAAACAAAACATAATATTAATACTAATTTTAGAAGAAAAATATTGTTTATTCGTAAAATGTATGTCTGTAGGCTAAACATAATATATATTTTGTAATTATTTTCAGAATATTGATCCAAATGAAACTTATGAAACTATAGACATATATTGACTTTAAATCAACATAATTGAAAATAAATTTATGTAACAATAGATTGTCTTCATTTGATTAAAAGCACAAGCATTTGTGCACTTTTTTTTTTGTGATTGATTTTATTCAAAAACAATTTGAGCTCTGTAACTTTTTTTAGTTGAAACAAAGTGGAAATTGCTAATATTTTTTTTTTAACCGTCATAATATCAAACTTGCGATTACAATAAGACGTTTTTAAGGAGCAACATTTCTGAAGATGTATGTGCATTTAATATCATCCATTGTCATATACTTATCAATATTTGTTGATTGTTTTGATGGAAGACCGTTGCCGTTTTTAGCTTAAAAATGAATTCTTGCAGTTAGAAAAAACAGCGAAGACGGTCTGGCAGCCTGTATACTAAGTATATATTTTATGATATATTTATGTTGCTACTGTAGTAATTTATTTTACTATATTAGTAAAACCATGGTAGGTTGAATTAATTTTTCCCGAAAACATTGTATTTATTTTATTATTAACTATATGACATTATCAAAATATCTAGTTACGTTAGAATATTTAGGTAGGTATTTCATATACGTTTATACCATATAACGACTATCGTATTACTAACAGTAAAATTAATTACTAAAATACCTAGCTTAGTAATATAGGTTGTCAGAACGTTTTCACTTGGAATAGTTTTACAATTCATATGCAGTGATAACTCATTAAATTCAAATCTAACACATCCATTACCGTGACGTATACTCAATGTGAGGTACACTCGATACATCCTGGCTCCTGCAGTACAACATAGTGGTTACCTGCTTTATACTTGCCAAATTTATTTTATATTATTATTTTAACTTACCGTTTTTTATATTGTTGGCTGTATATAATTTTACTTAAAGGAAATTTTAAGAATAAAAACTACAATATTACCTACTCAATATGTTTGTAATTTGGCTTTAAATTCAGAAATTCCATGGAAAAAACAATTGTTTTATTCACAGACTTAACATTCACGTATGTATTATTTATAACATATCGTGTATACAATATTCTACAATATATATGTAATGCATCATATAACTATAAATATTTTTTTTAATAGCTGAAATAACCTAGGTTTAAATAAAGTATAATTAATTTTGGTAAAGATTGTACATTTGCGTGTGAGTACACCACGTAACCATGGTTACCGTGCATATTAACAGTGAACAATTTTTAAATTAGTAATTTATTATGCCGTTAGTGTGGCTTCTCCTGTTTTAGATTCTGAGTACACCTAGTTACAAAAAAAACAATAGGGTTTGAAACAATTTTTTTTCATTAATTCTTTGCTTGAGGTAAACCTTTAAAACCTTCAATGGGTAGTGTAACGTACGTCAATAAAACTGCGTTAGTAAAAGTCATATAAATAACCATAGAAAATATTTTAACACCAGCTGTGCCTTTTGTTACCTATAGCAGCTACTGCGAGCTACCTATAATATACCATTTTGTTATGTACTCATATAGCCATATATTTTTTCTTTATAGTATTAAAATTTGAATATGATCTTCTTGGGACTTGAGTTTATTATTTTTTCAATACGATATATTGTATTATTATAGCATTTAAGAAAATGGTTCTGAAACTTTAAATATAGGTACATACGTATAAAAGTATTATTGTTTTTAAGCTAATTTACTTCTACGATGGCGTGTTTGATACCGTTTTAAGCATGCTTTATAATTATTACCTATTTACTATGTTATTCATCATAAACTATTTGTCATACTAGGTATATATATAGTATAGGATAGGTATGTTGTATAGGAAAAACAGTGAGACGATTAACATTTAATTTAATACTTTCTGTTTTAAAACGATCTGTGTGAACGACGTAAGATTGCAGCTAAGCACTTATTCATTTGTGCAAAAATTATTATCACAAAAATTCGGGAACATCGTTGCATGCACTCTCAAAACTTTTGACGAATAAATATATGTTGAAACGCGTTCCGGTAGGTATAGAATATATTTCCGTCAGCATGCGGTAAACCAATATGCATTCCTTAACGCGTGGTTAGCCACATTGCCCGCCGACGGTGACGTACGCATATATTATATATACGCAGTAGGTATATACATATTATTATGTACAAACGTAGTGATTCTTCTATCGCAGAACACTCGGCATTGCTAAACTAACCTAACTTAAAAGTTAAAACGAACTACTACTCTAACTACTATAGGTCAGGGTCGGGTCAGGTTAAGAATATCGAGGGTTGTGCGAGATAAAAGGATCACCCTAGCTACTGCATATAATATACGACAGCTACGGGGGCGTCTAAGTCATGTCAGTCGTACTCGCAGCGGTAAAGCTGTTTTATTTTCCACCTACCAAAAACTATAGCATATACTGTATATACTACTTTGACGAGGGCAGTAGGTGGCTCGATATCTATACGCACTATATTCATTATTCATCGTTGAGCTGCAAGATAACGGGAAAAAAGTGTCTAGATACACGATATATAAGATAATATTTTTGTTTTAGGTGTTTATAGGTACAAGATTAAACATTAACTACAAATATACAATGTATTCTAAATTATGTCTCTAAAATATTACAGATAGGAGGTACCTTTAATTTCTATGGATTATTACTAAGCATATTTTATTTTATTTTTGTTCATTTATCAAAAATTCAACATCCAAATAGGTATTTATTATTTATATATTTTTTAAAACGGTGTCTTGTATATTATTTATATCAATACAATCTTGATTAAACTAAAGAAAAAAACAAATCATTTTTCGGATATTTTTACTCGCAGGTCACAGAGTGAAAATATAAGTACCTATTACGTGTGTTTTTGAATTTTAAAACGCATATTGTATTTTTTCACTAAAAAAATATAATTATCACACAAGATACGCAGTTTTGTATCTAATGAGCCCATGGTAAACTAGCTGTTCACCCTATCTCTATATTATATGTACACGATAATAACACGGTATATACAATCTCGGCACAGAATTTAATGGACTTATGAACAGACACGATACAACTATACGAGACATACTCGACGGTGATCAATCTGTTACATTTATCGGACTGACCGATAGCGCACTTGATGCGGCTTGTCCGATTGGTTACACTGTTTATTACGACGGATCGCCGTCTTAATGTATACGCATTTGCAACGTATTAGCGTACTGTTCTCGGAGATGTCCGAAGTAATTGACAAGGGATAGTCGAGAAGTCCACGAAAAAAAAAACAGTAGTGTTATTGTATAGCTAGTAAATAAAAATAAGTATCAGTACGTGTTTGACCTCCGTCCCAAGCACACGTGTGTTCCGTATTTCTTAGCTCCCGATAGCAATATCAGTATATACATGCACACAATAATCATCAGCGAAAAAGGTATGTAATCTTATATTACTCGTAATTGCAACACAAAAATACACCGGCCGCCGGTACATAGCGGCCAATTAAACCGATAAAATGTCTATCGATATTTTATCTAACATGCATAACCAAGAACTATCTCAACAGTCATCACCACCCAAAATAAACAACACAAAAACCTTTGCCGAAACAACAGCCAACACAACGTTTCCTAAGAAAGATCAAGCCATTATATTAAATACGATAAACGAAATACCACAAATAGAATATGTTAAAGCATTTAGCAAAATAACACCGCCTAAAAACATCATATTTGCGTCCCGTATTTCGAACAACAGATTTTGTATATATTTTAGAGACAAAATAACTGTTGACGAACTGACACAAAACTATTCGTATATAACCGTTAATGAAAATCAAATACCATTTCGTCGTCTAGAAAACCCTGCCAAGAGATTTATAATTTCTAACGCTCACCCGATAATACCTCATGAAGTAATTACCGAACACTTATTATTAGAAAACATAAAGACATTATCTCCAATAACCTTCCTCAAAGCTGGTTTTCAAGATGAGCTCGCTCACATCAGTAGTTTTAGGAGACAGGTATATATTCACCCCGACGACACAGCAAATGTACCCGGATCGATAATAATCAAATATGACAATACAGACTTCAGAATTTTTCTAACGGACGACACTCTTATTTGCTACGCATGTAAACAAAGCGGCCACACATCTAATCACTGCAAAAAAGAACCAAATACTATGACAAATAATAAATATACTACACAAAAACCAACAATAGATGATGCCCACACCACGTCCTCATATCCCACACATGAGGAAGACATAACAGAAGTAAATACTATTGCCATACCTAAAAACAGTCAAAACTCAAATATATTAAGCCTAACAATGACCAACACAACTTTACCCAATAAACAAATCAAAAGATCTCTACCAACATCAAGTTGCCCTACATCTCCAACAATTTCTGAAAAATCAAACACACAGCCAAACATTGAGAAACCTAAACAGACCAAAAACCTTGAATATAAGTTATTAGAATCAAAAAAAAAACAAGAAAACACCTCAAGATCAAATTAAAAAACTAAAAAAAAGCAATTCGCTCGAAAATATTGCTACAAATGATGAGGACCACCTAAAATCTGCACATGACCTATTTTTCGAAAACGAAGAAATCAATATCTCTTTTTACCAATTCAAATACATAATTGAAAATTTCTCCAATAAATCAATTAACATACATTCTCTCTGTGAAGAAGCAAAAGTTGACATACCTTCAATGTTAAAAACCATCGAAATAGTCAGACCTAAGATAAACGACCGAGCAACAAAAACCAAACTCACCAAATTAGCAAATCTACTATTCCAAGCAACTCCACAAGAGTTATACTCGTAAAGTCCATATACAAATAAATCAATCAAATTCTCAAATTCTAATGAATGTAAATCAAAAAGAAAACAACCACACACATAACACAAAACTAATACAATGGAACCTTAATGGCTTTCAAAAAAAAATAAATGAATTAAAAATACTAATAGCCGAGCATTCGCCCGATTTCATATGCCTACAAGAAACCAATTTTACTGACCAAACCCACAAAACTTTAAGGAACTATATATGCTACACTAAAAACAGAACTAATGGTTTAAGAGCCAGTGGTGGTGTAGCAATATATGTCAAGTCATTCTATCCTAGCAAGCAAATAAACGTACAAACCCATCTCGAAGCTATTGCCATTTCTATACATCTCAATGAAATAAATTTAAATGTATGCAACTTGTATTTACCCAACCAAACTAAAATCGAATTTTCCGACATCGAAAACATAATTAAACAACTCCCCAAGCCATTTATGATATTAGGCGACTTTAATGCACATTGTACCATGTGGGGATCAGAAAAAACAGACCATAGAGGCAAGATAATTGAAAAAATACTAGAAAACGAAAATATTGTAATTCTAAATGACACATCCCCCACCCACATTAACCTAGCCAATGGAACCTTATCATCTATCGACCTAACAATGTGCACATCCTCCTTAGCCCAAAGACTCAAGTGGAAAGTGCTGCCTGATATCTATAGCAGTGACCATTTACCTATACTCACAAACTTCATGCCCAGGATAGGGGATACTAATACGAATAAAAACCGTAGATGGAATCTAAAAACACCCAACTGGACATTATTCAGTGATATTATAGAGGAAGAAATTACCAAAATACAATATAATGACCAATCCAATATAGAAAACGCAGTCAAAATATTAACTAACATAATCACCTCAGCAGCAGAAATATCAATCGGTAGCTGTATAAACCATAACCAAAACCCCAAAGTTCCTTGGTGGAATGATGAGATTAAAAGAGCTATATTCAATAAAAAGAACGCCTTAAACACGTACAAAAAAAATAAAACCTTAGAAAATTTCATACAACTCAAAAAACTGCGTGCCCAAGCCAAATTTTTAATAAAAAAAAGCAAAAAAAACTCATGGAAAGAATTCACAACCAGCATAAACTCCAAAACTAACTCATCCAAGATATGGAGCAAAATCCATTCATTGAAAGGTATAAACCGAAACCAAGAAATTCATATAACTGACGAACAAGGAACAACATCAGCTCCAGAAGATGTCGCCGAAAAAATCGGCGCTTACTTCCAAGATAATTTTAGCAACAAAATCTACACACAAGAATTTATCAATGGAATAAAAACACCAGCCGAAAACTCACAAATAATCTCAATGATAAACCCGAACAATAGCGACCAAATTGTCTTGAACTCCAGTATAACACTCAATGAAATGGAAACTGCACTTAATAAATGTCAAAGCAAAAGCCCTGGACCAGACAGTATCCCATATTGTTTTATTATAAACCTAGGCATAACAGCAAAAAAATTTCTATTGAATATATATAACAATATATGGCACACAGGAGTTATACCTAAAGAATGGAAAAAGGGAATAATAATTCCTATTCTTAAACCAGGGAAAAACAAACATTCCACTGAAGGATACAGACCTATCACACTCCTAAACACAATGACAAAAATTATGGAAAAAATTATAAACTTAAGATTAATATGGTTCTTAGAAAAAAACCAAATACTTTCTAAAGAGCAAAGTGGATTTCGCCACACCAGATCAACAATGGACAACCTAATTACAATAAAAACTGAAATAGAAAATGCATTCGAACATAAACAAATACTCGGAATGATCAGTTTGGATATAACAAAGGCTTACGATTCTGTATGGAGACATAGAATACTAGCTCTACTAAGCAAAATCTTAACAAACGGCAATATGTTCATGTATATTACAAACTACCTAAAAGAAAGACAATTTCAGGTCAAAGTATCACATACCTTATCAAAGACGTTCTACCAAGAAAATGGTATCCCACAAGGATCATCACTGGCAGTCACACTCTTTCTCTTGGCCATTAATGATATTGTCGAAACAATCAAAGTTCCTGTAAAAGCTAATTTATTCGCCGATGACTTTAACATTTTTTGCAGAAGTAATAACCTAAAAACCGTCCAAGAATTACTCCAAATAAGTGCTAACAGCTTATCAGATTGGTCAAAAAAAACTGGCTTCTCATTCTCTAACCTCAAATCCAAAAGTATTATCTTTACAAAACAAAAAAAAATAAAAGATCTCAATATAATACTAGACAACTTAGTTATACCTCACCATAATAAAATTAAAATCTTAGGAATAACATTCGATTCCAAACTTAATTGGATACCCCATCTAAAAAATATTCGTGACTCGTTATCTCAAAAACTCAACATAATCAAAATAATTGCCCACACATCATGGGGTGGTGACAGCGCATCTCTTTTAATGATTTATAAAGCGTTAATTCGATCTAAAACAGATTATGGATCAATACTGTTAAAAAATGCCAAAACCAACCACTTAAACATGGTTCAAACTAAACTAAATACTGCTATAAGACTTTCAATAGGGGGATTCAAATCCAGCCCAATTGAGAGTATTAGAAACATTGCTAATGAAATCCCACCTAACCTTAGAAGAGAAAAACTACTGCTATTATATTGTGCCAGAACCAAAAGAAATATCAACAATCCAGCCATCAAAGTAATAAATGAACACATACAGCAAGCCGAAAAAGAAAATATAAAAATAAACAATATTTTAGAAAGAAAACCGTACAATTTTCCCCCTTGGAACACAACATTCAATGTTAACCTTACTTTAACTCAATTCAAAAAAGAAAACACAATGCCCTCCATATATAAAAACATGCTCAACAACATATTGCAAGAACACCCAAACAGCGTACACATATACACTGATGCATCCAAAACAAATGACGGTGTCGGTCTCGCTATGATAATAAACAATCAAACAATAGCATACAAACTTCCACCTCAAGCATCAATATTCACAGCAGAAGCGATGGCAATATACAAAGCTGTAAAATATTTCCACACTGAATATTCAAACAACCAAACAAAATGTATAATACTTAGCGACTCACTCAGCAATTTAATTGCCATCACAAATACTCGAAACCAAACAGATATCACTAAGCAAATACAAGAAGAAACTTTTCTTGCAGAAAATAAAAATATATACATCCAGTTTGTATGGATTCCGGGCCACATAGGCATTCCAGGAAATGAAATGGCTGACCTAGAAGCCCATAATGCAATCACCTCCACATTAACTGCAACCATAAAGTCCATCACATTCGCAGATGCAAAAAACGAAATTAAACTTCACACAAACAACAAATGGCATTCCCACTGGCGAAAACTCAACACCAAACTCAATAAAATAAAAAACAATATAAACCCATGGATAAATCCTGAACTCAGTAGAAAAGAAGAAACCATAATAAACCGTCTACGAATTGGACACACACACCTAACACACAGCTATTTGATGACCAAAGACGATCCTCCACTATGCGACGCGTGCAATGTACTTTTAACGGTCAACCACATCATCACAGAATGTCAAAAATACAACAAGTATCGAAATCAATACCACATCTCAGAACAAATTTGTCAAGCACTAGGACCAAACTCTCAAGACGTTAAAAACTTAATTTTATTCTTAAAAAAAACAGAATTGTACAATTTAATTTAATGTAACCATGTAAATGCTAAAATACTAACAATGTAATCTAAAATTCGTGTACTAATGGCCTAGTTGTCGATGTATAGTTCAGATCAATAAAAAAAAAAAAAAAAAAAAAAATAAGTATATTATACAATGCCATCGTGGTGCTCAAAACCTTTCTTGTAAGTGCAAAATAAATAAAAAAAAAGCAATTCTGTGCAGGCACAGGTCATAGATTTGAAACTTCCGCTTCGTCATTCAATACAATAATATAACTATTATACAATTATATTTATTAATATTTACATTAGTAACGTCAAGTCAGGCTTAGGTTTTAGATTAAATAAAAATAATAATACAAAATGATAAAATATAAACAATATTTTTAAATTGTCATTCAATACAATAATATAACTATTATAAAAGTATATTTTTTGGTTGCCGAGCAACGAAGTACACGGGATAATTTGGTACAGAGATAGGTTAGAATGTTAGATTTTATCTTTATATCTTTATACTGAAAAATAATAAAAATATGAAGTTAATATTAAGTCACATTAGTCTTAAGAGTGTCGATACTATATCGTTCTGAAATCACTGTGTAGTCAACATGTTTATAGAATATTCTTTACAAGAAAATGATTTAAACTATGTGTAGGTACTTATGAGTTTGGTTTATTTTTCAAGTTTTTAAATAAAGCAGGATTTCAATAAATTGTTTTGATACTTTGTAAATAATTTTCATGTACCTAGCTCCACAAATCTTTATGTTCTAAATCTTTTAAACCTACTTTTATAATTTTGAAATAATTTATTTTTATTTAAACTATTAACTGTATGAAAACATTTTATTAATGACAATATTAGTTTACTTTTTTTAGATACAACAATCTCTATTACCATCTCACAACAATATCTAACTATTTTCACACACAAATTTAGCTGAAGTCTCAATTTTCTAGGTGTGCAAAT